TATATATATATATATATATATATATATAATTGAAAAAATAAATATATTCAGAGAATGAAGATTCAGCTTAAGGATCAATCAATATGAACATGCAGTTGTAATAACCATCATGAACATAATTATCAACGTTCCAGCGATGAATAAGAAATATTTAAAACAATATCAAACAAAAATTATGAATCACTAATATAAATTCCACGAAACCACGAATGCACTATATACGCATATAATTACATGTGCGTGGTGAGTCATCATAATGGAACAGATATTCATTATTTTGTAATAATGATAAAGATAAAAAATATATGTATATAAATGAATGACGTCATAACGATGAAAGTTGGCTCAGTGCCAACGACCAGTCACCAATTGATAGAATCGTTTCGAAAATGACTGCAATCTTGGTAGCATCAATAAATGAGCTTAATAAGGGGCCGCTAGGCTATTCCCAGCAAGCAACATACGATCCTCAGACGGATCCATCCCTACCTCCAAAGACACCGCATACGTAAGTGTCGTGTTCTCCTCTCTTCTTAGAGATGTGAAAACCGCTGCTCTTTCTCTGTCTTCACGCTGCTTTGGTACACACCCATTGGCGAGTCCGGCCCACACCTAGGTGAGCGATTACTTGGCGATTCTTCGAAAAATCGCCCGTTCATTCACGTTCGCAACGTGTTCAAGTTCCATCTTGCACACTCGCATCACCGTACACTCACAGTGTCCAGCTCTCATGTACAGAGATTGACGGGCAGCTGGTTTTGTAACGCAATACATACGAAGTGATATTCGATTAGAGATGAATGTGAAGAGTGGCTTTGCAGTATGGAAAAAGTTTTTTGAGAAGAAAAAATTCATTTATTGATAAGGTGAATATTCATTAACAGAGTGAAGAAATGAATAATCAGAGATACAAAGCCTCCGGAGCACCCTCTTTCTTGCGATAGAGCACATTCTCCTTCGACTTCTTGAAGTCTTCCATTGTGACACGCATTCGACGTTCGCGTAGCGCCAACAGTCCTGCCTCGGTACACATCGCCTCAATTTGCATAGTAACATCACCACGTCCATCCAGCATCAAATCAATGAAAATACCTTAATGTCAGCACCCGACAAGTCATCCTTCGCCGTGATGAATTCATCGAGATTCACGTCATCAGCCAGTGTCATTCTGGACGTATGGATCTGGAATATTCGACGCTTCGTCTTCTCGTCGGGTAGAGGGAACTCGATCTTACGATCGATTCTACCTGGACGAATCAGTGCCGGGTCTAGCGAATCAATCCGATTCGTTGCCATTAACACCTGTAATCACCTCTATTACAATCATATGCTTATTTTTTCGGGCTCTTTTTAAGTCCCTTTCCCTGGAAATACGGGTGAGTAGCCCAAAACCTCTGTGATCGCAAAATATCAAATTATGATTTCATGAAGAGTGAAGAATCGCAACCTTAACATCCCCTCTCGAATCAAAACCATCCAACTGGTTCAAGAGTTCAAGCATCGTCCGCTGTATCTCGCGTTCACCACCCGAATTTGAATCGTAACGTTTCGTACCAACTGCATCGATCTCGTCAATGAATACTATTGACTATAATTCATAGCCATTATGCATAATAATTAACAATAACAATGATAAAACTAACCGGAGCATGCTCCTCAGCAACTCTGAACAATTCCCTAACCATTTTCGGTCCATCTCCCAAATACTTCTGAATCAATTCAGACCCAACCACACGTAAAAATGTTGCTGAAGTTTGGTTCGCAACTGCTTTAGCCAGTAACGTCTTACCAGTGCCCGGTGATCCGTACAAGATTACACCTTAATTATGTAACATTATCATTATTTGTTTATACCAGTGACAATGATAAACCTTTTGGTGGTTTGATACCCATCTCTTCGTAATATTCAGGATGAGTCAACGGTAGCTCAACCGACTCTTTTATTTCTTGGATTTGTTGATCTAACCCACCAACATCTGCATACGTTTCCTGCAATTTCATTCAACATCAACAACACTAATCAACAATGATATTAAGCAAACCTGAGGTGCTTTCTCGAGTTTCATCACAGACACCATGGGGTCAGTGTCGTCGGCCAGCACACCAATAACTGCATGCGTCTTATGATTCAGTAGAACTGCACACCCCGGTTCTAGTTGCTCTTTATCAACAAATGATAGTATCGACACGTAGTGCTCACTTCCAACGTTCTGCAATTCAGACAGGATATTATATACAACAGCAATAAGTAATAGTAAGAATGAATAACCGTTGAAACGATGGCATGTTGATCGTCAATGATCTCTTCCAAACTGCCAACAGCCATCGGTGTTCCTCTGAGATCGTTCACTTTGGCTCGTTCTTCCTGAAACGTAGTTAATAAGCACTGAAATACAACGGACAAATAAATGCTTGCTCACCTCTTGTCTTTCTTCCTGTGGTTTAAGCCTTTCTTGGTTTTGAATAAATTCTTGTTCCATCAACAGATAATCCTTTATGCGTTCCAACTTCAGCAATTTCAATCGACAACGTGCATGTGGTGTTACTTAAAGATAAGACAACTGCTATTATTAACAACAGTACTTGTTCAATAAACGAACCAGTCGGAAGTTTGGTGGCTGCGTCAGGTCCTTTACCACCTTTCTTCCGTTTGCCTATACGAGTTGGAATTGGCGCCTCGTACTTACGTTTCTTTTCCTAAATCAACAGAGTTTATGTAATTCTGGTTCACTTTGTGATAGCAATAAATCCAACCTTATCTGCATCACCCCCACCGCGCTCATCTCCTCTTTTACCCGAAAATCCAGACTGCTGCTGCCCCATAATTACTTCTCTCGATCAAGTCTAAAATTTTATCAACGCTCAGGGATGATATTTACATCACTATAACAGCACATCTATCAACCAAATTAAACAGTTAACAAAAAGAAACCAACTCAACATAAAAACTGAATATATCATCACTTTGGTATCAAGTGAATGCAAAATCGCCAGCACTCAAACATCGTTCGTAGATTCAATCACAGTTCGCATAAGATCAACGAGCGATTATCAGTACATTCGTCGTTCAATTGTTGTGGCAGATTGCCATTCATCATGGAGCATGCAAAACGATGGATATTTTCAGATAATGTTACCAGCCGACTACTGGCTGGGTTTATGATAGCGGTCTTGCGCGAAAAATTTTTTAATAGGCTGTTTCATTTTCCACCGTACTGATAGTGATTGTGTACGGTTACTAGATAAAAGTGGTAGTGATATATTGAAATTAAAGGTAAGATGCCGGAAGTACTGCAAGAAGAGAAGAGCGCGCAGCAATTGCGTCGTGAAGAAGATCGTAAAGAATGGGATGCCTATTGGCATATTCGGGAACTGGACAGCAGAGGGACCTATTACCCGCGAATGAAATACTACGCTCATCGTTTTTTCGATTACCCAGCCAGCTGGTTTCGGGAGAATATTGTTGAGCCTTTGCATGACAAGCACCGATTGCCTTATTACCATCGCAAATTGGATCGTGTCGCGAACATTGATCAATGTGGTGTGAATGACAAGGCATGCTTTTACGAAGCGAATGAACAGTTCAGACTTGATAAGTTAGTGGTTCGGACAGTTCTCACTTTCCATTCATCTTGTCATACTCACTTATCGTTATTGATTTAGAATGGTGGATGGCTATATACTGCAAATACTGCGTGGTCGAGTCGAAAGATGCATCAATTACAACGCACCCAATTATTCACCTTGCGTTAAAGTATGTCGTTTGATTGGTTTGATTGCGACTTAATGAAGTGAACTAATTACAGGTTATCGAAGATCTAGAAGAGAGCGAATTGAATTTCTTTATAAAATACGGTGAATTGGGATCGGAAGCAGATGTACGTGATGCATACATGAAGCAGAAACATCGCATGATTTGGGAAAGAAGACATCCGGAAATTATGGCAGAACGGGAGATTGCTCTTAAGGTGAGTGTATGCATTACATGTACATCTCAGTATATAATGAGTATCATTAAAGGAACACAAAGAGAAGCTGTCGAAGGGTGAGTTCGATTATTCGTTCTGGAAGAAGGGCATGTTCTACGAAGACAAGAAGAATTACGAACCGCCATACGAGAACTATCTGAGCAAGAGCACGATTGAGGGTGATAAGCCTCTGTCGAAGGATTGGCAGTATTACAAGAAGCTGAGTGAGGATGAAAACTTCGATAAAGAGCAAGGCAAAACGAGTGACTTTAAGTTGTTCTAGTCGTTGGTTCGATACATTCGTTTGTAGTGTACTGTATTCTTTTAGGTCGATACTGTGTGTTTATATTGATTATGTGCACTCGCATAAAGCTATTCATCGCCGTGTTCGTTTTATATCCGCATCGTAAAAAGCAGACTCTTTCGTCATACATGTAAACATATTAACAGCAAGCTTATAAAGACATTTTACTAAACAACATCTTTATGTATAAATAAAGCGAAGTACTAAAAATGATGAAAACTGTATAATGATTATTATGATCCTATTGTATGTCGTAAGACAACATTCGATACTGGTAATAAACTGATGAAAACTAAATCATTCTTCGCGATATAAATCTTCAACCCCGAACTGCGTCACTCCTTCCTCGAATGGAATATTCACCACCTAAACAGGCATATATCATCCATTAACAACCAGTATTCAGAATGGGCAGTGATAATTGCAAACAATTTGTTTTTCTCACCTTCATCAGATATCTCATTTCGTCTTTGGCCAACCACTTCTTCTTTATAGCATCTTCGTGCTGTTTGGCCATTTGTTTTTCATGTTCCCATTCACGAATATCCGCATGATATTCACGAATCTTCCGCAATCTGTACGCACCCCATAACACTCCCAATCCTATTATTGTGATCATCATTCTTATCATCGCATACAAATAATAATTGATTCAACTCATATTTAATAATAATCAAATGGATACCTAGGGCAGCGTATCGTGAAAATCGAATAAGAGGTGATACGTGTATTGGTGATGGAAGTATCACTGCGTTTGGATGGCGAGGGAACGACATCTATAAATACTGGCTTAATTATCAAATATTAAAAACAGATACTACACTTCTACTTGCAATAATCAAAAAGGATACACATGTTCACTCGATTAATAACCCACCGATCGATGAATAGATAACTCAACGAGATGCAATGTAAAACCACGACCAATTAATGAGGTGTTGCAACGAGAATGGGAAAGGGATGCGTGCGATAAGGTTCTTCGAAAAACTGATAGTCTGAAAAGAGGCGTTCGTTCAAGTGCGCAACGTGCTCGCACCATCACACTGTAGACGTTTGCGTTACAGTATGCCTGCATTGACTAGTTCTTCAGAGATTCATCGGCACTTGGAGCATTGCAATGCCACATAATCGGTCTAAGGCTCAGGCTAAACCTGAACCTGAATCTGACGGTAAGCTTGAACCTAAACTCAAATCTACGCTTATGTTAGCTTGTGCAAAACAACGGTTCTTTACTCTGCATCAAGTCCAGTGCGTTGCGTTGCATCTAGAAACCTCGGTAGACCATCAGTTTGTTCAGTGGACGCCTCGGTTCGATGTGAGTCTCAATCTGAGCTAGTTTCGAATATAATCCATCGCCATATCTGGATTTGATTATCCAAACTTGATTTCATGTTATTCAAACAGAACTTCTCTCAACGCGATATTTGCGGTTCGAACAATCAATAAGCTGTAACAATCTGCGTACCTCAACGAACGACTGATTTCCGATTAGCCCTTTTTCGAAGAATTGCACTTGTCGTTGCAGCATGGATCTGTGAGAAATGAATAAAATTCGTGTTTGTCGTATGATCGACGAGCAAAATTCGTTTAGATCCTTGTGCATCGATGTACATTGATGTAGATTACATTGATGTACATTAATGTAACTTGCATTGATGTAAATTACGTTGTACATTGATGTAAATTATAGCTTAAAATATATTTTTAAAGAGATCGAATAGTGAAAGTAAGCCAGGGGTGGTGGGGTAGGGTTTGAAATATGCTGTTATTGTTTGTATTAAAGGCTGATGTTGTGATTTATGAAAAAGAATACGCTAGTAAGGTCAGTCATAAGCATTCACTGTGAACATAAAGGGGAGATGAACATCGATCCGAGATAGTGTGAATGATAAGGTTGCTTTATGATGTTGACTATGAATAATAGGAATAATTAAAGGTAAAATGTCGAAAGCTGATGCTGGTCGTTTGATACACATCGCAAAAAACCGTGAACGCGCAAAAGAAGCTATCGAACAGAGACGGAAGAAAATTGAGGAGGAAACCGAAAATTGTTCAGTTTTTTAATTTATATTTCATGCAAAAACATTGATTTAAAGCAGGATTATCATCAATAAATCAACAAGTTTCAGTGAAAAGTGGAATAAAATCGAAGTTTACTGCCAATTACGATGCTATTGAAGAATCGCTGAAGTCGAGCACCGTTGGATTAGTTACATTAGATGAAATGAGAGAGAAACAGAAGGATGTCATTGAAATGAGGTTTTGTTTTACACACAAATATATATATAGAGAGTGATGCGCATGTTGCTGCTGAAGCAAAGTAACTCTTGTAGAAAGTGTATGAGGTATTCAACTTCGACCCGTTGAGGCGGGTGCAGATGCAAGCAAGCGAGTTAACGGACGTCTCAAAAATCGCTACGAATAGTTACTTCTTCGGTAGTGCTATAGCTTGCAGGGGAATAGTGAACAGTAGTGTATAAATTATTTAAGTTGCAACATTATTCAGAGAGACACAGATCGTGACCGATGGAACATCGAAGGTGTTGGATAAACGAAGAAAGGCAACTGATAGTAGTGATGATAAAGACAAAAACCAGGTGTTGATTATAATTCACTGATATTATTAGACGTTATTGATAACAAATTCACTTAAGAAGAGAGTTCTGTCATTTGCGTTCGAGGACGATGACGAAGAGTGTGATGAGCAGTCAACGTCAACGTACGTTGTCCCCAAAAAGGTTTTTAATATTATAACTATTGATACTGATATTCTGTAATAAATATAATGAAGCAATTAACCGACAGAGAATGGGTATGGATCCAACGATCGAAACTGGCTTTTTACCGGACCGAGAACGTGAAGATCAATTGACAAAGTTTGTTTTAATTGATAACAATTAAAATAACAATAGATAATAATGGTATGAAATAAAGATTAAAAGAAGAGCTATCGAAAGAATGGAAGAGGTTACAAGATAAGGAGAAGAATGAAGAAATAAACGTGGCTTATGCATATTGGGATGGTTCGAGTCATCGCAAGGACTTGCGAGTCAAGAAGGGATATACCATATCACAGTTCTTGATCACTGCTTTAGAGGTTATTACGCTCATTTTATCGTGCATGCAGTACACCTCAGATTGTTTACAGGTGCTGAAAAGGGAGTTTAGCGAGTTGAGACCGGTGGTGGCTGAGAATCTGATGTTTGTCAAGGAGGATCTCATTATACCGCACTTCTATACGTTCGTCATTTACTTACTAGTTCATCTGTCCTTCAGAATATCATCTTACATCCATCCTCTTATACAGATTCCAAGACTTCATTGCTACAAAGGCAGTTGGTAAAACTGGCCCTTTATATGAGTTCGATGCGGCCAGTGAGATCAGACTCCGTCAAGATGCTGCCATCGACTGTGGTGAATCCCATCCAGCCAAGGTATTATCTTCGATCGCATTGTTAATATTATTATTATCACTGCTACTTTAACAGGTAGTACTGCGGAGCTGGTACGAAAAGAACAAACATATATATCCGGCATCACGTTGGGAAGCATTTATACCGAACAAGGAATATCGCAAAACAATTGATGATCTGAACACAATTTGAAAGCAGTTGATGAAGGCAATAATCGTTTATTAAAACGGCACTTTATAACGTCCATTGATGTGATTTATAAACATGTGCTTTATTGTTGTCTATGTGAGAGTTCATTTGCTGTTTGCTATGGATATCAATCATTTCATATTGAACAGATTGGTTCGGTTTCTGTCGTGATAGCACACTGCGTATTTGTTGTAGTGTTTTGAGAGATGCGTTCTTGATGGGTTTGTTACATGCACAGTAGACTGGATATCTTAAACAACTGCAATTCATTACGATTATGATATTACTGCTGATATGATATGACATGACTTGATATTATACCTCGAAAGAAGAGTCAGGATGCTCATCATATCATTCAGATACGAATAGAACTGATACAGATCCAACTCCAGTGAACTCTTGTGGATTGTTTCCCAGAAGGTGATTATGATTTGTAGTGATTGTGACATCAGGTACATGCTCACACAGCTGATCAGCACTCGGGTTGCATCCTGATTTGATTTTGATACAGTTTACACGACTTTGCATGGTAACAACAAGCACTCACCCTCAAAGTAGATCGAGTGCGTGTGCACTGTGAAGAAGATCGTTTCAACGATCCACCGAACTGCTCTCTCTTCAAACTCTTTATTATTTGAAAGTTCATCGTGACCAATATGAAGAACGGCATTATTCTGTCAATGAGATTCCTTAGTAAAAACATCCACCAGAATCTATAATAATACCAAATGCAATTCAATTATATTTTATTCACCATGAACTGAATTGGTGTTTTGATAGAATTATTCTCAAATGACTCAGCAGAAACGGCTTTGAGATGATCATAAAAGAATAATGGTAATGATAAACTTGTAAATGGGGTTGTTTGCAAGTGCAGTGGGTTGTATCTCGAACTGCGCAAAATCAGTGCAGTTTTGAATTTGAATGAAGTGAATCTCGAAATAAACACAAATCTTATATAGAAATGCAACTGCGATGCACGCTAGCGAGACGATCGGTCGATTCCTCTCTAGATATCTGTATTTATGTTCATTGTTATTTTTATTTGCTTTGTTTTAATCAAATTCATCCATTTCTATTAAATTGAACCACAAAGATTGCATTCGCCACCGATATTAATTCATTTTAATTAAATTTGAAAATGAAATTAAAGAATATATAAAGCACTTTCTAATCGAAGTCGAGTATTTAAACTGAATATTGACGAGCAGTCGTTCGAAAGTGGCGATTAAAATGAGTAATATTGAAGCGAACATCACTGTGCAACTCAGCATCATTAGCCCTCTCAAGTACATCAAAAACACTTTATATAGCCACAGCAACTCAAACTGGTCCATATACACCTCAATTTCACTACCATTATCATTAATTTAATCAAGTATTATTAACCCTCCCAATCTCCTCTCAGTTTCTGATGATTCGATGGCCACTTCAGCACTATTACAGGCTGCTATACGCATTGATTCTCGATTATACGAAGAAGTAATATTTTAGAAGTAATCGTCACTTATAAATACGTTTTGCTGAATTAAACAAATAATGTTTGGTGTGCACAAAGTGTTAACGTATTGAAGTTGAATTGAAGGATGACGTGTGCTGGCATTAGGGCATTACAAGTAATAGCACTTGTATGAACAAGAGGACAGTGAAGATAAGATAGCTGCCCTAAGGTTATTTAGTGAAGCCACTGCATGATGAGTGATTAATGCAACGAGTATCTGTGTGCCATGAAAAGGGAATAGAAATGGCATAAGCTTCGTTGCAGAAACCACTTTTGAGGACACGAACACAGAAGTGATACTGTAGATTGCATTCACTATCAACCAAGCAAAAATCAACAGTGCATTGAAAATACTAAGCTCATACCCAATTCGTCTTGAATTATTCCGAAATGAAAGTTTGGCTGTTATCAAGAAACGATACGAGTCTGATTGAAGGAAGGATGATGCTGGCGATCATCAGCTGATTATACTGCTTTGTTCAAATATTAGTGCTCTTATAAAGAGTTGATAATAAACAGCCATTACGATATCACCTTCTTATTGACAGAGGAGAGTGGGAGGGTTGAAGTCGAAAGATTAACACGATAAAAACGAACAGGAACAACCATAAGTCCGATGTAATTAAACGCCATAAATATGTCAAGGATCGCCAGGATGCCGAAATAGAAAATCGATGTGTTTCGTAAGGGTTTATTGCGAATGAAGACGATTGTGAAGAACGAGTTGAATATTATGGAGAGTATCGAAATGATCAACGCAAACACTCCTATCATGTAGATCTTCACCGGTAAAAAGTCAGTTCCCTGAATTTGTTCGTTTTATTATCACTCATTCTCTTCATAAGCATAATCATATCAAAATTGAACCATGTAATAGCACTGGTTATGATTTTCACTTCCATACAAATCTGTTGTCATGTTTTGTTGTTGCAGCATCTTATTATATCTGTAATTAATGAGTTTAGATACGATAAGGTCAGTAATATGGCGATCTAATAAAAATAATCAGTAGAAAATAACATCGCTTCAAAATATTCAAACGAATATCTCACGAATTACACTAAATTAAATGAAATTCATATATTTACTATTATTATTTTTTAAAGACGTATATATAAGGTGGTAATATTCGATTTTTTGAGGAGTTTATTCAGTTTTATTGCGTATATATGGAGTTTTATTGAGCGGAGTAGTTTGTTTGGTTTCATATTAATTTTTTAAATGCATCTCGTGAACAGATGGTATTTATTGAAGTAATATCAGCAATAACAGCAAATTAATAATGAAGAGAGTGAGATCAAACGTAGCACAGAGTTAGCTATTGAGGTGAAGTGAATCGCTTTTAATTAAATAACTTATATATTAATAAGAATACTTGAAGCAAAAGCTGATCGAATGCAGTCACGCAAATAGAAGTGGTCAACGGAGTTGATAAAGAGTTGGCATGCGATATGTCTGATGAGAATAAAGGTGAATCGAATCGTTTTCAGTGAAGGAATAAATTCGTCGTGATGTGGAATCGAATCGAATCGAATTGAACGTTTAATAAACGAATTATGAACACGATCGAATTAAATTTACGAACAGTCAGCCAGACATACGCCATCCAGCAAACTATCCCTCTATCAATATCCTCGAAAGCGCAATGCAACATCTACAACATCACACCCAGTCCAATCGAATTCAATTCAATCCATCCAATTCAATTTACTCCCAAATAAATGCATTCCATCAAGCCATCATCAATCCTATCTGTCATGTTCATATTCTCTTTATTCATATATTTACTATCACATAACATCACCATATCAATTATACACATCTCATCTCATTATAATCATTATCGTAAAACAATTCAACCAATAACCACTATGAATGTGCAACACTGAGTGAAGCCTCGTACATTCCTCTTAGTTTATTCTGCGTTATATCCCTTTTATACCCTTTATGTAAACATTATTATTATCATTATTTTTGGTGCTGATGACGATAGTGCAGCTACTTGAGAAGAGCGTTATCACTGCGTGCATAAATCTTTATCACTTTACAACAATAGCCATTCGTCATTTCAAAATTATTCATTACAGCAAACAATGTCTAATTAATTATCATATCTAACTTACTTAATAAATCATTCTCATTTCTTTGCTTTTCTATTAAGGAATACTCCTTATTTTATATATATA